GAATATTGAATTATCATGTCTTATGCATTGAAAGTGTTTTCATGGATACCATACACATACTTGGGTTTTCTTTTTCCCTTCTTTGTCCCCTCTTGCTAGTCCAAGTAGATTTTCCTGCCATTAACCAAACTTTCTTTCAAGCCAAAAATTGTTTGTGAGTGATTGTGAGGCATTTTCTTTAAGGAATGAGCTTAGTAAAAAGTGTTGGGTTAGAACTACAAAGGGACCCTTCCATTGTAGAACTAGCTCACCCTCTTGAGCTAGATAGGCTAGGATGTTTTGGTTAACAAGGGATGGTTTTGGAATTTAAATTTTGTGTTATAAAGTGAAGAAGGAAAAGAGAAAGAAAAGGAAAAGGAGTGCACATAAGTAACCTTGGGAAGTTTGGCTAATCATTAAAAGCTCTATGCAAATGAAAAAGGTGTCCAAAGCTAGCAAAGAGAACACCAATACAGTAAAGAAGAGCAAAAGCAAAGAAGAAATGGTCAAACCTCCAAGAAGAATCAAAGAAGAAGATGCACTTCAAAGAAGCTCAAAGGGAGAATGAAAAATGGGATCAAAAGAAGCAAAAAGCTTCAAGAAAAAGGGTAGAATATGATTATGTTTTGGGGAAGAAGCAAAGGAGTTTAGATCACTTATGGGTTTTCGAGTAGATGGGAGTTTATCTTTGTATGCATAAGTTGTTCTTTACCCTTAGAATTTTACCAAAGCTCATTCCATTTTCTTGAGATAACCCTTGCACTTAAATATAACCAGTTATAAATTGTTTGAGGTCATCTTTGCCTTATAAGCCTTATCCTTAGTCAAATGAAAACACAAGATTTGCATGAGCATGATCCACTTGGTTGATGAGTTAATTGAATGTTAAAGAGATTGGATGATGTGATTTGCTTGTGTAAGATAGTCTTGAGTTTTCTTGTATATGCTTGTGATGAGTGTGGCTAGATTTTCAGTAAGAACAAACATCATTTTCATTTTAGAATCATTAACTTGGACAATGACTTGATTTTTATTATTGCCATCTTTCAAACCAAATAGCTCATACTTTCAAACTTCTCTTCCACCATGTTCATACTTGCTTGAGGGCAAGCAAGATCTAAGTGTGGGGGTGTTGATATCCTCATAATTTACCTTGTTTTAGCTTGCATTTAGTTTAGTTTTTGATCTCTTTCATGCATTCATTCATCATATTTTGTCATATTTGCATTCATATTAGACATAATAGGTTTAAGGTTAGACATTTGCATGTTTTGCATTGTTTGGAGTCTTTTTCAGGTCTAAATGGAGCAAGGAAGACATTTGAAGAATGGTGAATGATGAGGACATGAAGAACCAATAATAATAGCCAAGATGACGGGTTTTAGGCTGCACCAAAGTCCTGTATGACCAAAGCTGAGAGAAATCTGTCCGATGTGCAGATCGATATGAAATGTATGGGTCAAAACGAAGGTCTTCCGGTGAGATTCAGCCTCCACGTCCTTCATAGAAGTTGTAGAGGATCGAATAAAGTTTCCAACGGAGGTTGAATTATGTCAATCCGATCAGTATTTAAAACGATACGGCGGTTCAAGCATCACTGTCCGCAACCAGAAGTTCCTATCGATCACCACATCGATCTCCTACCTCCTTCCTTCAGATCTATAGGTTTTTGTCCGAAAAGCATCTTTGACCATCTTTGACTTTTTTATTTTTGCTTCCTATGGCTATTTTTGGGATGTTCCCTATAAATAGTTAAACCTAGATCTATTTTCTCTTATCCTTTCTCTTCCCCAAAGCTTTGCTTTGGTTTTTCGTAGAACAAGAACAAATCCTTTATGGGTTGAGACTAGATCACTTGTGTATACTTTTATTTATGTTTTCTTCTTCTTTTAATCATAAGTCTTTAATCTTTAGTCTTGTTCTTGCTTTTATTAATTTCGAATTTGGTCTTTAGGGTTTGAGTTATTTTAGAGATTCATGATTTTTTGTGAAGCAAAAGTGTTTCTTTTGGATGCTTGATGTGTTAGGTTGCTAGATCTCATTCCTCTTCTTGCTGAATTGATCTTTAATGCCTAGTACCTCTTTGGATTAGACAAGAATCCTGGGCGTTTTATCCTGCACTCCATGTGTTTGATGAAATGTCTTAATGGTTTAAGTCTTGAAATAGATGCTTAGAATGTCATGAGTCTTTGCATCACCCATTGGTGGAAAGTTGTCCTTAGATAACTGCAATAAACCTAACCAGTGAGTAGTTGTATGATATATTCCAGCAAGTGATAAGTAATCACACAAGCCATCAAAAGTGGAGATATGAGAACTTGTTATATTTAATGGACCTTGTGCTTCTTGCTTGTTTGTTGGTAAATACACCACTAACCATGGGTTTGACATGCCATTGAACAAAGTAGCTTGTCTTGTTTTACATGTCCTTATCTAGAGTGGAATTGTTCTTAATTTGATTTGATCCTTTAACCATAAGCATGATTCACTTCGCTATCACTTTAGTCTTGAACCTTGCCTTTTTTGTGTTTGCTTTCTTTTTAGGGATTTGAGATGGGTTAGGTTTAGGGAATTTGAGACTCTATCTATGATTGCTTAGTGTTAATTCTTCCATTTCCTTTTTTGATTGCTGTGTTTAATTCTTAATTAGCCCTAGCTAAGTTGATTAAGATCTTAGGCTCATTTTATGCCCACCAAGTGTTTGATGAAATGCCTGAACTGCTTTGCAAGAGAATTGCTTATCCTAGCTTAAGAGATTGACTGTCTAGGGAGTGATTTGGCAATATAGGGTTGATAGATTTGTCTTAATGCTGGCTCTTTATCATTTCACTAATGAGAATTAGTTCTTGACTTGGTAATTAGCAAAGAGATTAGTGCCAAGAGATTGGATTAGTCATATAAATGAATCCTATGCATAAAGAATAACACTGTGTGAGTTTGTAAGCATTATAGGCTGAGTCAAGAGTTCCCTATTACCAATTATCTCATGTCAAGTCCCATCTTTTCTCTGTTTTAAGCTCTGTTCTGAATTTGCTCTGTTATTCCTTTATTTTGGTTGCTTTGCTTGATTTTCACCTTTTGTGTTTTGCTTTCTTCTTGTTCATCCTTAGGTTGTTAGATTTCCTTCTTGTTCATCATAGGTTGTTAGAGTTCAATTCCCTCTCTTTATTTGGCCTAGCTTAGCAAGTTTTCTGCATCTCATCTGTTCCTTAGCCTTTGGATTGGATTGACACCTCAAGTACTACAATGACATGTGTGTTTGAGGATTGAGTTAAGGCTTAAAAACTCTAACATCAGATGCCTTCTGAGTTGCTAACATCGTGGTTGATTTGCAATGATCCAAAAAGATCCAAATCCTCCAATTGTGCTCTAGACATGCTATAACCCGCAAAGATTCTACTAGGACTCTAAAAAGACAAAAAAGACTCAATAAAAAAAGCTTATACCATGGTTAAAAACCATAAAAATCATGACATATCAGGTTCACTTCTTCAGTGAAGGCAGGCCAATTGCAGCACAAAAGTGCTATCAGACACACCAATGAAATCTTACCCAATAATCCTAAGTTTTGTTTTATTTTTTGGTTAATGATATGTATATATATAGGAGAAAAAATAGTATCATGGAATAACTTCGTTCTTTTTCTGAGACACACCAATGCACTCTTACCCAATAATCTTATGTTTTATTTTGTTTTTTGATTAGTGATATGTAAAAGATTATGAAATGGAGTGTATATGTAGGAGAAATGCAGTATCATGAAATAAAGGTTTTTTTTTTTATTTTTCTATAGAAAGAATAAAATAAATTAGAATTGATTTAAATTAGTTACTGGATTGCAATTTTTAGGAATAAAATTTTGTTGAATTGAATATTAAAGCCAACAAAACTGTTATTAGTTATAAATAAAGAAAAAAATATTCCACTTATTCTATATATTACATAACAAAGTTCTTTTAAAAATTTATTCCACTTCAAAAATGTTTAAAAGATGAACGGAATTATATGGTCATTTTATTCCATACATTTTTATATTTCAAATAAATTTATTCCATCAATTGTTTATAACCTAATATTTTTACTGGTTATGATTGATAGAAATTAATGAAAAATATTCGTAAAATTAAAAATAACATCGATTAATTCTTTAAAGTATAAGATGATTCGTCTTCTACATCTAAAAAAATACGAAGATGTAAAATTTAGATCTCTTATGACAAGTTGCTGTATTTGTTTTGTCAAATAATTTCTTAATTTTTTTTCTTTCTGTCACAGTTTATTTTTGTTATTACTATTGAACCATCTTAAATAAATATTAATAACTATATAACAAAACAATAAAAATATTAAGAGAATATAAATGCATAGACATTTTCTTATAGCATGAGTAGTTGTGAAGTTAAATTCGAAATGACATTGTAATATTCTTGTTAATTTTTTGATTTGACATGATATCAACGCTAAAGCTAGGAGTGTCAATTAGGGCTAAAACCTAAAGCTCGGCCCAACTCGGCCCAGAAAAATACCGGGATCAGGCTTTGATATATAAGCTTAAGAAAATTGAACTTTTGGGGCCAAGCCAATTCGAGCTTATTGATTTTTGGGCTTAGGCCCAGCCGGGCACCCTATTACCCGAAACGCTATCAAATAATATCATAGTTCATTTACCCGCATTAAGGGACTTCGATTACGCGGATAAGGGTACTCGCGGGGGTGTCGGCTCTACACGGTGGGACTAGGGATAAAGGAGATCGGGGTGGCTTCTGGGGTTTTCGATTTCAAGGGACTTTCATTGTTGGCAGGGGATGGGAATGCCAATTTCTTTTTGTATGATTCACCTAGATGGTTCAGGATGAGGAAAGTCGTGATTCATGGGTCCGGCTGCATTTTGAATTCAGCGAAAATCTGGGAATTGAGAGGAGTGGGATTGGGGATATCGACTCCATGGTGGAGGGTACTCGCAGGGGTCTTCGGAAAATCTGGAGGACTTTTACGACATTGCTTTCCAGCTTTGGCACCTGATGAAATCGATTGGGTACTTTCGAGGATACAAGGTGGGATTGGCGATGGTGGAGATCGGGGTCGTTTCTGGTGGTTATGATGTTAAGGGATCTTCTGATCTGGCCAATGAGGAGTGTGACAACTTGGCTCTGGGATCTATGGTTGTAACTGGAGACTCCCACCACACAAATATGGAGATTTCCTTCCTTTCTATGGTCATGTGTACAAAGAGAAGAGGGGGACAAAAGGGAAACGACGGATTATTTCGACACTCTACAAGAATCGGAAAAGGGTTCGAGCATACAAATGAATGTCTATGTGTCTCGACAAATTGGCTCTTCCAATAGTGGCAACAAAGGAAAGGCAGTACTTGCACCAAGGATGAGGATTAAAATTCCAAGGTTTGATAACATGGAGCTGATCACAGGCTATTCTCGGAACCTTATTGGGAGGTGCATGAACCCGGGGATTCAGGACTTGAATGCGTTGCTGTTTATGCTTCCAAGAATCTGGAAGGTGGAGGACAGAGTGGCTGGGCAGATTTGGGGATGTGACGTTTTCAGTTCAATTTTGATAGGGAGAAGGACATCACCGCAGTGTTAAAAATGGAGCCGTATTACTTCGATGGCTGGATGGTGGTGTTAATTTGATGGGAACCATCGATGGAACCAAATTATCCTTCGGTTTTAAAATTCTGGATATGCATAATAGGGATTCCACTGCACTTCTGGGCGGACATAAGTTTCAGAAGCATTGGGGATGCTATTGGTGAGGTTCACAATGTGGATCTTGATGGTGGTAGGGTGCAAATCACGGTTGATGCTTTCCATCCCCTTGTTTTTGATATGGCGGTGGAGTTTCACGGAGGAGTCGAAACCATGGTAATTATTCGATATGAGAGGCTCCACGGGTTTTGCAGAGAGTGTAATAGTCTATGAAAGGACTCGGGAAGATGTCCCATATTATTCCTAAAGAGAGAAAGACGGGAAGAGACAAGGCACAAGGAGGACAAGCATGATGAAAGAGCGTCGAGCTATAGAGGAGTTTTACAGAGCAAAGGGGATCTTAGTACGGCTAACTCCAATCTGAAACGGGCTTCGGAGGTACCTCTGAAAGGCAAAGTCATAATGTCAGAGTCACTGAAAAGAAGAATGGCTAATTCAAATGACAACCGGTTGGGAGGGGATAAGCCAGGAGGCTTCATGATGGCAACTAAGCCTTCCACAACAGGAGAAATGAAACATCGTCTTCGTGGTCCCTCACGAGGTAGTATTCAGGTTAACAAAGGAGCTATTTTGCAACAACAAGAAACTGGAGAAGAGGCTCTTATCGGGAGTTCAAAATATATCGGCTCCGGGCAATCAAATAGTCTTACTCACCATTCCGCGAAGAAGGCGTTAGGGGAATGATGTTGAGTAGTTGGCGGTTGGGATGGATGTCTTAGAAAACATGATAGATCGGGTGGCTGACTCGATGAGGCAATCTTGAATGACACAAAAACTGATGAACGGTTAGGAATTGAGGACTTTGGGCACATGTCGAATTCTTGGATCTGGCGTTGATTTTGGGTGTGAGGAGGATATGGCGATGCTAATCGAGGAAGGAGAAGAACCAGTAGCATAATCTTCGGTGGAGAAGGGGGGTGCTACATTACCAGGTAATTCTATATCCTATAACGAAGGGATGATGACAGATTTGGAATAAGAGAGTGGTATTTTGGGGGACACAGGTCATGTTTCAGGTACTACAAAGGTGCCAACGAAGAATGGAGCAAAGAAGAAATTGTTCTCGGGCTCTTTTGCGACGGGAGATGGGTCGAAGAAAATGATCACTGCAACTACACCAAGGAATAAAGGGATATATCGGGACTCAAAACGGGCTGGCGACAAAGCAGGTTTGCTCTCACAGAAGGAAGAGAGTAAGGGTGGCTCGGTTACTGAAGATATAATTTGATGCAAGTGTTGAGTTAGAATTGCCAGGGTGTGGGTAATCGTTATACAATAAGCTATCTCAAGGAGATTTGGAAAAAAGTTTAGACCATATTTTCTTTTCCTTTCTGAAACTAAGCAATGTTCTGTATTTGTGGAACAATTTAAATTTCATTTTGGTTATGATTTGATGTACACGGTTGAACCATGTGGTGCTAGTGGAGGACTAATGCTATTTTTTTAATACAACTTTAGATGTTCAACTCTTATTTTCTAATAACAGAATTATTGATATTGAGGTTCAATTTGAAGGGAAATTAATTTATTTATATTTCGTTTTTGGGGATCCGGTGCCAAAGTTAAGAGATCGGGGTTGGGAACGACTTACAAGGATCGGTATAACAAGAAGAGAGCCTTGGTTTTTAATTGGAGACTTTAATGAACTTACGGGCAATCATGAAAAACAGGGTGGAATATTAAGACAAGCGACAACTTTTGCCAATTTTAATACAATGATTAGTTTTTGCAGATTGATAGATTTTCCGAATCGCGGTAATATCCTGTCTTGGAAAGGTAGACGAAACAGCCAAAATGTAAGGTGCAGATTGGATAGGGCCCTTGCAACGGAAAACTGGCATGATATTTTTCCTTTTTCTTATGTGGAATATTTGAGGATGATAGGTTCTGATCATCGGCCTATTGTCGCAACAATTGAGTCGAATAAAATAAAACGACGTAACCTGTTCCGGTTTGATAAGAGATGGATTGGACATGATGGCCTAATGGATGCTATATCACGGGGATGGAATCATACTCCATTGGCTCCGGGCAGACCCTAGTTGATAAGATTACTTTATGCCGCCATGGGATTTCAATATGGCGGAAGGACAATCAGCCGTATGGGAGGGAAAAAATAGAAGAATTTCAGAAAATTCTCGAGGATATACAAAATGATGATACAAGGTCACAAGATGAATTAAATGAGATAACCTACAAACTTAGAGAGGCTTATCGACGAGGAATTATTCTGGCAACAAAAGAGTAGTAACTTATGGAACAGATGTGGGGATCTTAACACAAAATTTTATCAAGCTACCACAAAGCAGCGCAGGACGATAAACAGGATGGTGGGTCTTTACGAGAAACACGGGGTCTGGGTGGAATGGGAAAAAAGGTGGAAAAGGTTGCGGTATAATATTTTGACGATCTTTTTACGTCCACTTCTCCAACAAAGTTTGAGGAGACACTAGCAGAAATACTTCCGGTAATAACAGATACGAAAAAATGAGGAGCTATTGAGAATGGCGACAGAGGAGGAAGTGAGAAAGGCGCTTTTTATGATGCACCCAGATAAAGCCCCAGGACCTGATGGAATGACGGCTTTGTTCTTTCAAAAATATTGGGAGATTATAAAGGGCGATGTGGTTAAATTGGTTAATGATTTTCTCATAACAGGGTTTTTTGACAAATGGCTTAATACAACAAACATCTGCCTTATCCCAAAAGTTGAAAGACGAACAAGAATGACAGAATGGAGACCCATTAGTTTCTGTAATGTTGGATATAAAATAATCTCTTAGGTCTTATGTCAGCGATTGAGAAGGTTACTCCCACAGTTGATCTCAGAAACTCAGTCAGCATTTGTGTCTGGCCGACTTATTTCAGATAATATTTTGATAGCACAGGAAATGTTTCATGGACTGAGGACCAAAAGATTCTGTATGAAGGAATTTATGGCTGTTAAAACGGATATGAGCAAAGCTTATGACCGAGTTGAATAGCCTTTTGTTGAAAATTTATTTAGGAAAATGGGGTTTGCGGAGACATGGATTACATAGCTTATGTGGTGTATCGAATCGGTTCAATACAAGGTCATTATCAATGGGCACCATAGAGGCCAGATAAAGCCCAGACGGGGACTCTGGCAAGGAGATCCTCTATCTCCATATCTATTCATATTATTTACAGAAGTACTGATTTCTAATTAGCGAAAAGCAGAGAGGGACATATTGATTATAAGAATGAAAATTGCTCGGGCTAGCCCATCAGTTTTCCATATGTTTTTTACAGATGATAGTCTGTTTTTTGCAGGGCAAATAAGGAGGAATTAATTACTATTGAACCATCTTAAATAGATATTAATAAATATGTAACAAAACAATAAAAGTATTAGGAGAATGTAAATGCATAGACATTTTCTTACAGCAAGTGTAGTTGTGAAATTAAATTCGAAATGACATTGTAATTTTCTTGTGAATTTTTTGTTTTGAAATGATATCAAAGCTAGGAGTGTCAATTAGGGTTAATACCTAAAGGCCAGCCCAACTCGGCCCTGAAAAATATCGGACTCGGGCTTTGATATATGAGCTTAAAAAAGTTGAGCCTTTCGAGCCAAGCCAATTCGAGCTTATTGATTTTTGGGCTTAGGCACAGTCGGACACCCTATTACCCAAAAAACTGTCAAATTATATCATAATTCATTTATTGATTTATATTATAGAGTTAATTTATTAAAAATAAAAATTTCTTTTTTTAATAAATCAGAAATTATAATTTTATAATTTTATGCCTCTCTATAAATCTCAATTTAAAGTCGATTTATATCTCGAATCTACAGTCTTTTCTATATAGATTTGAAGTATTTTTAAATTTTATTGTTATTTAATAATAAAAATAATTTCAATTTAATAAGGTCAAATTTTTTCGGTTTGAAAGAAAGAAACAAATGAATCTGAAAAAGAAAAATAAAAGGTTCTTCTACTTAGTGGTTCTAGGACTGGATGGACCATCGTTGAAGAAAATTGGCATGGTGCGGATGTTCCCAGTATTGCAAGGAGATAAAACTGTTCTCAATGGTCATCTCAACGAGTCTTGTGACCTGTGAGATATGTTTTTTGAGAACCTTGCCTTGGCCGTCGACAAGTAGGTCCTGACAGACCGGAGGTGTTGAACAAGACGAGATCCACTAGACGCTACTTATAACGTGATTAATATATAAAACATATCCGAGTTTGTTTAAAAGAAACGATTATGATCTAACAAAGGTATAGACTCAAAATTTTTTACATTGGATCAAAATTAATCTCACATATATATAATGAATAATAAAGTTTGCAAACTCATAACATTTTAATAAGCTATCAGTTTTTCTTGCTGTTTTTCAAAAAGACAATTGAATTCAACAAAACTTATAAAATCCAAAATAGACGCTAACTTATTTTTGAAAATAATATAAATAAACATAGAAGTAAGATTTTTCTATCGGTGTTATGAAAAGATTTTGGATCTTTGGGGGGAAAAAGTGACAAAAGAAAAGTTTCTAAGGTAAAAATTATACTTTTAAGTGGTATTATAAATTATTTGATCGGTGATTTTTTTATTTAGAATATAAATATGCGTCTGCATATTGAATTTACTATGTGAAACAGGTTCTTACTTATTACTAATTTGAGAACTGTATCCTCTTGACTTATCATTTAAAAATGTAGATGGTAAATACACATTTACAAAATTGTTTTTCGAAGAAAATTCACCTTTTGACAAAAATGACTAATCAAGAGGTGGTCTGTTTATAAACATTGAGTTTATATTAAAGTAATTATCCATTTTATTTTTGTTTGTTTTAGGAAAAATAAATTTTAACATTACAATTCCAACGCACAACACAAAAATTCTCTCTTTCACTCCTTTGAACATGATGTAAACAAGAAAGTACCACTGCATCATCGTCTTCATTTAGGGGCTTTGGTTGGCGGAGAAACTGGCGGCTTAACAAGGGCTTTGGCCGGTGGGTGGGGGTGAGGGTGCTGATGATGGGGAGGGTGAGGGTGAGGGTGAGGGTGAGGGTGAGGGTGAGGCTGGTGGTGCTGGGGAGGGTGTGGGTGGTGGTGATGGGGAGGGTGAGGGTGGTGTTGATGGGGAGGGTGTGGGTGGTGGTGGCCGTGGTGGTAAGGAGCAGGAGCCGGAGCAGATGAAGGAGTTTGAGCCCCATGGTTCACTTCCTCAACAAATTGAAGCACCAAAGTGCTATGAGACACACCAATGTACTCTTATCCAATAATCCCATGTTTTATTTTGTTTTTTGGTAGTGATATGTAAAATATTATGAAATAGAGTGTATATAGGAGAAATGCAGTATCTAGAAATAACTTTTTCATTTTCTATAGAAAGAATAAAATAAATTAGAATTGATTGAAATTAATTACTTGATTGCAATTTTTAGGAATAAATTTTTGTTGAACTGAATATTAAAGTCAACAAAACTGTTATTAGTTATAAGTAAGAAAACAATATTCCACTTATTCTATATCATAACAAAATTATTTTAAAAACTTATTCTACTTCAAAAATGTTTAAAAAATGAACAGAGTTATATGATCATTCTATTCTATATATTTTATATTTCAAATAAATTTATTCTATTGATTGTTTATAATCTAATTTTTTTACTAGTTATGATCGATATACATTTAATGAAAATA